GTCTTATTTGCACCTACTCTATACCTCTCTCTCATTTTATTTTCTCTCTCTCTCTCTCTCTCTCGTGTTGCTGTCTGATTCCATTTTGGGCTGGGCAGCTGCTTAGGCCTGCTGGGTTTAAATTAGACCTCCAGCACTGCTCTGAGACTTTGCTGCGGTTCTGGCTTCCCTGTCACAAGTCCCTTGGAGCGTGATTATTTAACAAAACCATATGTACCAACTTTACCAGTCATTAGTGCACTGCATCAGGTGTGATTAATTATGTTAATTTTAAAGGAGATTTTTGGGGAGGCAGAAAAATAAATAAGGGTCAAATTATTTCTATGCAGGTGCTTTTTCAGACAACATTCAATTAAATCACTAGCTTAGCCTTGTGTCCCTTTGCAGCGCTAACGTATAAGAAACATATCTAAATGTGATCTGTCATTATATTTGTCTTTTTTTAGGTTTGACGGTCAGATTATAGCATAATAAAGATTTATTGGTTAAGTGGCTTGAAAACATCTGAGAGTCTAGGATCAGATTGATGCAGATTGTGAGGATGGTATCATCAGATGTTTATATGAGCAAACATATGTTAGAAGTATCATAATCCTAGCTGTAGCTGTAGTGGTCAATGTATTCATAACATTAATATTATCTGCTTGTGAATTCTGCATACAAGTTCTCCCTGTTGGTTGGCTATGTTCACTTAATACCTTAAAAAATTCAGCTGTCCTAAGGACAAATAATACATAATATGTGCTGCATGTTGTGCTTTGGGAACAAATTAATTCAGAAGCATATGGCTTAGTTTGTTGCATAGTTCTAGAAGCGATGTGCATTTGTGACTTTTTCACGTTTCACGCATTGAACATTTTTAAACATTATGATATATGAACCCCTAGGTATAATGATACACTTGCAAAGGGACCCCTCCCTAAATTCTTGAATAAAGACTCAATATTAATCTGAATAATACAAATATTATTTGGAAACTATATTTCTAGTAAGTTTACACTGTATTTTCTTCTGAATATTTTAACATTAGAGTACTGTTAGATGTGTAAACCTCAAGATAAAGATAAAACTATGGCAGTAAATAGATTAAAATAATTGTGATTGATCTCATGATTTTAGACAATTAGTCTTAAAAAAAGTTAAGAAAGAAACCGTAATCAATCAATGTTGATTGATTGATTATTTATTTATTGTATTATTTTAGAATTTGTTACACTATTTTTAATAACAGAAATATAAAGCTTGTATAATGTGGCTGTAAGTTTGCAAACGTATTTAAAGGACAAGTTCGGTATCAGAAACAGACAAATTAATCAGAAACGATCTTAAAACAGGGCTTTCAGTGTGAAATAACGAACTTGTGCTTTAAATATGTTTTGCTTGTTCCTGAATACTTCCATTGTAAGTGGTAGTACTGTGTACCATGATTTTTGAGAGAAAATCATGACTGAGAGAATTTATTTTATGTACTAAATTGCATGTTTGCAAATGCTGCTGATAGAGTTTAATGTGCATAAACAGCATTACTTTTTTTAACCAAAATCATATTTCTTATAAAATCTGGGAAATGATTATAAAAGAAAAATCTTCCAGTCATTTATTGTTCATTTCATATAGAGAGGCCTAGTTGTTACATTTGATCATCCCACAATGTCTGTGTGGGAGAAAATGTTTTCAGAGCTGGTACTAATCCTTCCTCTCCACCTCTCCCACACACTCCTTTTCATTTCGTCCCATTTCTCGCTTTTTTATCTCTCTGTCAGCCATCATCTTCTGGCATGTCTTTTGTTTCTTTCCCCGCTCCATGTTCCTGTCTTGTCGCCGCTGATGTCATGACTAGCGCGAGTCTGACAGTGTTATTGATGTACAGTGTTTTCAGGCTGCTTTCTTCACGGCCTAGAGAACTTTACACACTGGAAGACGGAAAATGTCAACTTTGTTTACGAGCTCAGCGGAGCCTAAGCTAATATTATTGTTAATACGTTGCTACTACAATGGAGCTAACTTCATAACATTTAGGCCTGCGATATTACTGTGAATTTCTCTGTGCTGTTTGAAGAGAATGGGCGTCGTAGACCTTTACTGAGGTGACCTGGGACCGACCTTGAAAACTGCCAAGCGCATACATGGCTGACAGTTACACAAAACAGGACAGAGGTGCAAATGATTAATACCAGAATTAAAAGTCAGTGAGAGATCATACAAAACATCTTGTGTGCACAAAAAGGAGCCAATGAAGGAAAATTATTTCAATTGTGATGAAGTTGTGTTGTTATACATTGGAATTAAAATGAAGATCGGTTCACCCAAAATCAAGATGTGATGAATGTGTACACACCTCTGAAAAGAAAAAGAAAAAAATATATATATATATATATATATGGTGTTTGTAATGGTCTTAACCATTTTAATCACAAATTATTGGTCAGGAAATTAGCAAGAATTGCACAAATACTGTAACTTGGCACGGAAAGTCAGTGTTGTTCCACTCAATGTTAATGGCTTCAAACATTTCTAGTTGAAAAATGTCTCCCAGTTCGTTAGAGTTTAGATTGAGACTAACTATTCACTATAATGTTCAAATCAGTCTGTTCCTCCATACTTCACTGAGGTCGAGATGCAGTTTTCATTATATTTCTCAGCAGTTTTTTGAAGACACCGCTCTGGAGCATCACCGTGCAACTGGTGTTTCATTGTGATTCATCACACACAACTTCCCATATTCTGCCAAAAACCTCATTCTGTCTCTGATGTTTTCTGAGACAGCAATGTCTTTTTAAGTAGTGCATTTGCTTAAATTTGGCTAATTTCCTGACTATTCATTTGTGGTTAAGTCAATTAAAAGCTTAGTATTCGGCCCTTTTGGGCTTGGCCCATTTTATTTTGCCCAGGAGTGTACATCTCCTTTAGTGTTCCACAGAAGATATAAAGCTTTAATGGTTTGGAACAACATGAATGTATAAAACTGGATGTATAAAACTCAGTACTGTGCCTAAAAATCTTATTATTATTACCTCTTATTGTTAACCTTTTAATTGTGTAATGAATTTCCTCTCTATGTAGTTACAATGGATAGATATGATATCAGACTTAGACTTAAGTGACATTTTGATTTGCTTTTTTATGTTTATTTATTGTTGCTTTTAGCCTTGCCATTTGAAGTTAAGGTCTGATGGAAAAAGGTCTGAATTTGAATAGCCGAGCTACTAGTGGAAAATATCATTTGGAAAATGTTAGGCCTGTGAAGTCAGTCAGCTTTTATTTTTCAAAACAAAAAATGTGTTTTTTTTTTTTGTACCGGTAATCATTCTGTGTGTACCTACTAAACCAAATAAGCTTTTTTATTGTAAACATCTTTTCTGTTAGGGTTAGGGTGTGAGTTGGGTATCTATAGCTGTTTATAAAAGTCTAAGGAATGTCCCCATTTAGATATGGGGGGGTAAATAAACGTTTGTGCAAGTTTACCTATGTGTGTGCGTGTGCGTGCATACGTGTAATCTGTTGCTGCCTAGTGAAGCCTGTAATAGTTAACGTGTGTGTGCTGGGTTCCTTTGACCCTCTGTTTCACAATGAATAATTTAACATCATTGCATATAGCATATGTCAGCCTGACACATTCTCATTTCTATTTAAAACACTCACAGGCACAAACATAAATACTCACAAATATGTGACAAACCTAATGCACTCATGTACATGCAAGCGCATCCATCCAATGAGTCATTCTTGCAGCTGTCCGCACGCCCGTCCACTCCTCTCATGAATAAGAGTCCGCTCGACACCTGAAACATAGACAGAAAAAAGATAGGAAAGTGGGAAAGAAGAGATAAGAGGAGTGGGAGGATTATATAAAGGTTCCGACTCCGTACTGTACAAGTCAATGCCACGACGATTTGTGTGTGTGTGTCTGCTTTTAGTAGATTTAGTTCATGAACTTACCCAGACTCTAAGCAAGTACAAATCAATACCATGCGTATTTCTTCAACTGGCCCCGCGGACTTAAACTCTTGTTATGCTTTTTACATTGTAATTTGTTTATTTAATATATTCACTAACAACCGTCAGCAGTGTGTATGCATTTAATTCATAATTTCAATTGTTTTATTGCATCTTATAGTGCAAATGCTGTTGATTGCAAAATACAAAGTTTTTTTCCTCATCACATGTTGTAGCTCTTAACTGAGATTTTTGTTAAAAAAAATATATTGATTGCTAAATTGTTGGTCATGATGGATTTTGTGTAAAAGTTATTTATTTTATATAAGAAGAGAGTATTGAAGTTTATGAACGTATTACCCCTTGATTAAATTATTGTATTTTTTAATGATTCATTACATTTTTCATATTTTATGATTTTTATGACAGTACAACAGTACAAACAGAACAATTATACCATTTTTAACAGTACTAATCTACATTTGAAAAGCAAAAAGATTTTGAAGAGGACCATAAATATATGATGAATAAGGATAATCACGAATATCAAGCTTTAATGTGATCTTATCAATACAAAAAAAACTAAATGAAATGGGATATATGAGTACATGTATAAGAAAACACAAGTGTCTTAAATATTTGTTTACATCATTTCACATACACAAACTGTAAGAATCATATGAAGCTCATCTCCTTTGATTCAACTGCTTTAAGTATTAAAGTACTCATTCTGTTTTCCTTCTCTCATATTCTTAGAAACTCTTCTCGTGTTTGTACTGTACCTTCTGCTCTCTTCCACTTCCTCGCACACTGTTCCTGCCCTTTCCTTCAACCTGTTTTTCATTCACAAATAGTTTGCATACTGTACAATAAATTATTGTTGTATGTGGTCATTTATGCTGCTTCTCTTTTGCCCCGGTAGAAGAAGAGATGTAAAATTGTAACTGTGTTTGATTTTAGATGAGGAATACTAATTTAAAAAAAGAGCTTTTTCAAACACTGTGCCAAAGGCTGTTAACACAGATTCAGCCTCCCTCTCACTGCCTCTCTCTGTTCTCTGGCAGGGCTCAGCAGACTCCTACACCAGTCGTCCTTCAGACTCTGACGTGTCTTTGGAGGAGGACCCTGAGGCTCTCAGGAAAGAAGCCGATAGACAAGCTCTTGCCACCCTAGAGAAGGCTAAGGTGTCTTATTTATTCATCTTCTTTCTTGTTCCAGTTTCTCTCTTTTCATTTATCATGGGTCTATTATTCTGAATCTGCCCTGAGTGATGATGATGATGATAATATACTTGATTGTACAAAAAAAAACATATTTTGAGAGGCTCAACACCTCATAAACACCTGTATCATTAGCTAGATTTGAATTTTCTGTCTTGGATATTAGTGCTTGCAGGTCTTGCTGCACAAGTGTTAAAGTGTTAAAGTAAAATTTTTGTTTAAGCTGTGTTCATGCAGCATCACAATTCAATATGCTCAATAGGTGTTGTTATATAATGGTATTGACGATAACCGTAATATTTAAATTGAGTACACATAATAAAATTACATGTAAATAATCTAGGGCCAGTATCTGGTTGACATCCCAATGTACAGTAGGTGTCGGTATTGCACCTTAACGCTGGTTGGCATCTGTCATAAAACACAAGCAGACATAGCGTGCAGGTGGTACTGCTGCATAAAATCATGTCGTCAGAAATGAAGAGACACTCTACCCCGCACTCCAAGAAAGTGAAAGTTTTTTTGGATAGCTTGAAAATGAAAGGTTTTTTTTGGATGACTTGAAAATTATTTGTTAATCACCCCAGTCTGCAGGACTTGCCGATCAACTGTTAGCGCAAATGGCAAAAAAAAAAAAAAAAAAAAAATGTTGCCCAGGTGGTTTGGGCTGAATTAATTTTGAAAAGTTACATATTTACACTGTAAAAAAATATTGTTGGTTTAACTTAAAAAAGTAAGTAACCTGGTTGATTGAACTGGAAAAAGTTAGAGTTAATACAATGAATGAGAATGATTTAATCATCAGAAACTCAAAATTATATGTTATCTGAACTAAATAAATTATTTAATTTGATTTGACAAAAGAAAAAATGTTGTGATTACTACACTGTAAAATAAATTGTTGGTTTAACTTAAAAAAGTGAGTAACCTGGGTTGCCTTAAAATTTTAAGTTGATTGAACTGGAAAAAGTGAGTTAATACAATGAAGGAGATTAATTTAATCATCAGAAACTCAAAATAATTTACAGTGTAGGGGTTCATAATCAGAACTTTTGAGAAATACCGATGCAGGCATAATTATTTGGATAGAGCACAGATTTTATTGTTAAAAGTATTTTTTAAATACACACTTTCTTTAAAAGCAGTTACTGATAAGACTTGTTGAAAAAGTGGAACATAAACTTATTAAAAAGGGCTGTTTTGTGATCCCACACCAATAAGTTGCCATCCTTTTTTTTGTAATGATTTAACACACTTAATCAGAGTGTTAATTGAGGTTTTCTACACAAAACATGTTGCTTACTGTTCCACCATGCAGGATATAAGTTTGAAAGCCCTATACTGTTCTGCAATATTATTCCATCCTCTTCACTGTATATATGATCATTTCATATGTCAGCTATAAATCTAATTACATGACTTGTGTACTTCCTTCCGCTCTGGATTGTTTGTTTTAATTCTCTATTAATCTATTTCACCTCCGTTTATCTCTCTCTCTCATCCGCTTTCTCTCTGAAGACAAAGCCTGTAGCGTTTGCGGTGAGGACTAATGTTGGCTATAACCCAGGCCCGAATGATGATGTGCCGGTTCAGGGTATGGCCATCTCTTTCGAACCCAAAGACTTCCTGCACATCAAAGAGGTCAGACAGACACATTTCCCTTTTAAAAGAGTTGTAAGCAATTTAACGTCCACTGGTAAAATGCCAGACATCAAATTCTGAAATATCATAATATCTAAAATTGTTTACAACACCTTTAATCTGATTTATTATACAACCATAGATCTTCAATATATGTATAGGTGTATGTAATCATACACTGTTGGAAAAAAAGGGTTCAATATTGAACTCTTGGGTTCTTGAATACATTTTAAAGAAAATGCCAATTGCAGTATTTAAATTTTTACTACTGATAAAGTATGTTTATGAGCTGTTTAATTCTTAAAATTTGAATCCATAAAATCATTCCATAATGGGAACCCCTCAAATGTTCTATATAAGAAGTGCCTTACAGAACCGTTTAATGTTTTATAGAACCCTTTTCTTCTGAGAGTGATATGGACAGAACTGTCTCAATTCACAATTCAGTGGCTGTGTTCACTTGTGTATTTTTGTACGTTTGTGTGTTTTTCTTTTAACAGAAGTATAATAATGACTGGTGGATCGGACGTTTGGTGAAGGAAGGATGTGAGGTGGGGTTTATCCCCAGTCCAGTGAAGCTTGAGAGCACCCGTCAATTACAAGAACAGAGAATGAGACAAAACCGCCTTAGCTCCAGGTAACAGCCAATCACAGTGAGCCTGTATATGCTGCAGTTATACTACTTATATGTGAAACAGGCTTTTTGCATTACTAGCCACACTACCGTTCAAACATGTTTTTTTTTTAAACAATTAATACTTTTATTCAGGAAGGATGCATTAAATTGATTAAAAGTGACAGTAAAGACATTTATAATATTAAAAACAATTTCTATTTCAAATAAATGCTTAAATGTTTTTAAACTTTTATTGATGAACGAATCATGAATATATATATATATATATATATATATATATATATATTACAGTTTTTATTAAAAAATATTAAGCAGCACACGAATAAATTACATTTGGAAATATATTAAAATAGAAAATAGTTATTTTAAATTGTAATACCATTTCATATTATTATTGTTTTTATGTTTTTTTTTTTGTTTTTGTTTTTTATCAGGGCCTCTTTTTGATCATTTTTTTGTATCATTGTTTCCACAAAAATGTTGATAACAATTGATTATAATAATAGGAAATGGTACTTGAGCAGAAAATCATCATATTAGAAAGATTTCTGAAGGATCATGAGACACTGAAGACTGGAATAATGATGCTGAAAATTCAGCCCTACCATCACAAGAATAAATTACACTTTAAAATACATAAAAATAGAAAACAGTTATTTTAATTTGTAATATTATTTCACAATATTACTGTTTTTACTGTATTTTTTGATTAAATAAATACTGCCTTGGTGAGAATAAGAGACTTCTTTCAAAAAACATTAAAAAAATGGTAATGTTTCCAAACGTTTGACAGGTTCTGTTGATCTCTCTCTCTATTTACCAGTAAGTCCGGTGGAAGCTCTAGTCTGGATGTTACCACAGGTGCCCGGAGGCCCACTCCACCTGGAACAGGTATGATCAGACAGTAATGATGTGAGTTTTTTTGGTTCTGTTGTGATGGAGATATGACATCCCTATCCTTCTAAACACGCACAGAACATCGACTCATTACATTCACACTGGGTTCACATTGAATACAATGACAGTTAGATAGAACGTCCGGTTAGGACCCTTCTGCCCTCTTTCTCTTCCCTCTTATCACTCATTCTTCTAGACTGTTGTTTTTCTTTCTTCCTTTTCTCTTTATTGTCATCATCATCTGTAATTGTAGTTCGAAATCTTTAAACTACTGTAGTTTATGCGATCTGTCATGGCTGTGTCCACTCTGGGATTTTGATAAATTTTTAACTTAGGGCCATTTTCTCAGAGGAGGCAATTGAAGCAATGCATCCTCGAAGTAATTGAATGAAAAATAATAAACAGTACAAAAACAAAACAATTTATCAGTCTACTTAAACCATAATAATACAGGTGGTTAAACAAAAAAACATATGATGAGACCGAGTTCATTGTAAATGGCCTGTCCATAAACTTTTACAATTTTTACTTTAAACTAATTTTACAGGTTTTTACTATATCATTTATTAAAGTTAATTATTGTTGTTATTGTTTTGAAATCAATGTAAAAAAAACTTGATGAGAAAACTTAGTTTAATAAACAGTATGTTGATTTAAACATCAAATGTAATATAATATTATTTGTTTGCTGTTAGTTCAGTAAATTATGTTCCCATAGTCCTGTAAACTGTAAACATCAAATGAAACTGGAACATGAATTTATAATTTATTTAAATACCCAAACTCAGAGAAAGGACTTCACAACACATGCCACTTTTTGTACTTCTTTAAAAGGTTGTTTCTTTTTTTTTGTGCTTTTTTCACTTTAAAACGCCTTCTGTGTTCTTTTCATCGCCCTTCTGACTGAGCAAACTCTGTACATCATGCTGCTGTTCTTCCTCTCTTCCTCATCTCTCATTTTCTGTCCGTTACCCTTGTTTCCCTCTTCTTTCACTCTCGATTCCTTCTCTATTTCTCTTTCTCCTCCCCATCTTGTTCTATCCCTTCATTAAAACCCGCCCACCTCCCAATCGGTCCCCTAGCTGACTTGTCCTCGGGGCTTTATGACGATGCTTTGGATTCGGATGTTGAGGAGGTGGAGCCTGCCGACACCCGTGACCATAAGGGTGTGGGCGGAAGTGTCACCTCCCCTCAAGGCAACCTACCCCGCCTCCCTTTCTTTAAGAAGGTAACCCCTGGTGATAACCCCAGAATGCATCAATGGACCGCCTCAATCACGTGTGACTAATAATCAGACTCGTTCCTAACCGAGCAACTTTTGTGTCTCTGAAGTATGTAAGAAATCTTTGCTGTTCGTGTGTTTGTTTGTGTTAAAATTCACAGAGTGGGACAGAGTGAATGCATTATTAAAAGTATAGTTCAGCCAAATATGAAATTCTTTCATCATTTACTCACCAGGTTATATATGTATATGTGTGTACAAAACAAAATATTAGGAAAAATGTTCCGACTGCTCCAAAAATAACAAGAACAACACAAAAGTACTGTAGCTGTTGTCCATATGATTCATGTACAATATTCCAAGTCTTTGGAAGCCATATAATAGTTTTGTGTAAAGAACACAATAAGATGTAAGTTGTCACTGAAAAACGTATCTTCGATTTTAACCAATGTAAAACCAAGGCCCGACACATCCTCCTGACCTGTTTGAATGTACGCCGACATGAAGTTCTGAGAACTGCACCAGATAAGACTTTTATTTAAAAATAACAATGTACATTTTAGTCTTTCCACATACAAAGCTATTATTTGTTTTCAGAAGACTTAAAGCTGCAGTCCACAGTTTTTCCTCTTTGTCGCCATCTCTGTTCGAAATCTGCAATTGCAGGCATTCGCGGAATTATCAACTTTATGTGAGTTGTACCTCGGCATGGCACAGTGCGGATGAATCCAATGTTTTGAGGAGAAAACAGATTCTCACAGATTATACTTTTTGGAAGTTTGACCAACATAAGAATTTTTCACCCTAAATTGTCCTCTGAACAAGTAACGTCCACTTTCGTTAATTTTCGTAAACCTAACGATCGATTATCATATCACGTCAAACCGTGCAAATTATACTTTGTTCTCAAATTGTTAATGTTAACAACATCAGCATTGTGTGACTACATTTAAAGGGAGACTTGTTTGAACAGTTGAGTTTTACAGTTTTTGAACCCATTCAGTCGATTTTCTGATATTTAGAAGAATATCAGTAAACAGACAGTTTCTGGTCTCCTTGACTTCCATAGGATATTTTTTTCATATGGTTACTGATATTCTTCTAAATATCAGAAAATCAGCTGAATGGATTCGAAAACAGTAAAACTCAATTGTTTAACTCTGGGGAGTTGTAAAATGAGGCTATTTCCAAAAAAAGTGGAGTATCCCTTTAAAGCCCTTCAGAGATATGTATCCTTGTTTTTGCATGGGCCGGTTGCAGTCTCTTTATCCTATCTAGGGATAGTTCACCCATCATTTATGTATCATGTATCAGTATTCTGTCATCATTTACTCACCCTCAAGTTGTTCCAAACATGTGTTGAGTTTCTTCTGTTGAATTTTTTTTCCTACTGTGGAAGTCAATGGCTACCTTCAACTGTTTGATTACCAACATTCTTAAATCTTTACTAATATCTTCTTTTGTGTAAGAAGGTAACAGAGGTAAGAAACTCATAGTTTGGAACAACTTGAGGGTGAGTAAATGATTACAGAATTTTCATTTTTGGGTGAAATATCCTTTAAAATATTGGTGCTGTTCATCATTTCTTCACATAGTTCTGTGTTTCACTGAAGAAAGTAAGTCGTACAGGTTTGAAACAACATGTAGGTGAGTAAATTATGACAGAATGTGCATTTCTGGGTGAATCTAGATAGAATTTTGAGTTAAGACTTGTGAGACTGCGTATGCTGGGAGAATTTTACTTCAGATCAACCTGAATGAATATCTATTTGTTTAGAATCTCCATGATTTCTTCATTTGGCCACATCTGAATTTTTGTATTAATTGTCTCCCAGCATCCTATCTGTATTAACAATTTGTCACTAACAAGCTTCTGTTTGTGTGCTTGCTTGCCCTCTCTCTCTTGCTGCGTTTGTGTGTGAAATGATAGGTGGGCCTGCCAAACAGAAACAGAAATCGGTGAGTCATAGCAACAACAAACTTTTGGTTTTGTTTTTCTGTCTTTGCACTTGTTGTGACAATATCTGAGTCTTAGAGCTATTGTCATAGTGTCCCTACATCAGCTCAGCAAATACTGTGAATGTTTTTTCGGAAAATACAAATTCTTCTATGCTCGTTTCCTTCTCTAAAGACTTAAATGTGATTTGTTGTGGCATATTGACTCAGGGTTCCTGTACCAGTCCTGTTCACAATAACATTGCTCGGAAAAGGGAACAAATGTCAGGTTGTATTAGTCCTAGAGCTCTACAGACCATATTAATCTCATTCCGATTGAATCAGGAAATGAATGAATCTGGCCCATGTGTCCACCCACATTTGTGGACATAATGCCATCCTCTTGCACATGTACACAAGATGAGGCAAAAACACTCTGGCAGGTTTCCGTTTCCATTACTGGTGTGTGAAATAGAGCGTAGCCCACGCATGTGACTGTTGTCACAATGCCTACTGACACACAATTACACATGCACAGATGCCCGTCTGGGAGAATTAGAATATTCAAAATGATGACATTATATTGTAGTTGTTCCGGTTGTTTTTAGATATTCCGCTTGTTCATAACACTAACGAGTCCTTTGAAACTTTTGGTCAGTCATATATTATATAACAGGGGAAAAGAAGTGGGAAAGCCAAGGCAAATGGGGATCAGTTGAGCAACAGATTTCCGTATCTGTTTTTCTCACACACACTTCATGTAGTGAAGGACCCTCAGCAGGACATGAAGAGGTCTTATCTTAGATTAAAGTGATGATCTGTCAGAGGAGGGAAGGGGAGCTGTGTATCCTAAAAGAGGTTCTTTATAATTTATATTTATACACTGAATGTCACTGAGGGGGCTTTTTGTGTGTGTGTGTGTACTTTCAGATGGAACATGTTCCTCCTTATGATGTGGTGCCTTCCATGAGACCCATTATTTTGGTGGGACCATCCCTTAAAGGCTATGAGGCAAGGCAATATCTCTCTTTCAAAAATTGACCATTTTTAATTTTAGTAATTCAGTTCATGTTGTTCAGTTTTGTGTTTGTTACATTGCAGGTGACTGATATGATGCAGAAAGCACTCTTTGATTTTCTAAAACACAAATTTGAAGGCAGGTTGGTATTAAAATATGCATGTCATGGTCATAATGAAGACATGAAATATAAAAAATTAAAAAAAAATCATGAAATTTGCCAAGATTTTTGTTATCAAAGAAACTGTTTATATTGATGGGAAAGTTCTGTGTGGGTTGTTAATGATGGAAATACCACAATACACTCGTTACATGGTATGTAATTTGTATACCATGGTTATGGGTTGTTGTTTGTTCCAGAATATCTATCACCAGGGTGACAGCAGACATCTCACTCGCCAAACGTTCCGTCCTAAACAACCCCAGCAAACACACGATCATCGAGCGCTCTAGCACCAGATCCAGTCTGGGTATGAAACACACCTGCACACAAATGTGAAACTCCATCATTTGGTCATAAAGCCTGAACAGGCTGAACATTTGGTTTAGCAACAGGCTGAATGACTAAAATCAACAAGTATTTTGGACTCATGTTAGTCCAAAGCAAACAAAAAAGCAAAGCAAATTTCAAAAGCCAAAGCTATTCACATTGAGAGCAAAACAAATCGTCTGTTGAGATGAATGAAATGCCTTCATTCTGGTATTACGGGATAGTTGGTAAAGAGAAAAGACTATATTTAAGTGTTTTCAATAGGAAAATGTTGTTGAATATTTGATCTCTGTAAGAATATACATTTTATAGAGTACTTTTTTTCCTTTCATTAGTGTACACTAGTACACATTCTCTCTGTTTCCTAAACATTTTTTCTCAGTGTTTCCTCCTCTTGCTCTGTTACGTCATGTCTGATCTGGCTTTTTCTCTTTTTCATTCTGTTCTCTCCCGCCACACTATCCCACCACACTTTTCTTTCCTCTCTTTCTCTTCACGTCAGACGTACTGGGTACGTATCCAATCATCCCACCCTTTTCCCCTTCATGACCATCCATTTGTCGATTCATTCATCTCTCCATCCATTTATCTAACTCTACCTCCATCTGTCCTTTTACTTAACCCTTGAGTTTGGTGTGAGAAGTCTTAACTTGTTGGTTGTGGCGTTATTAACTAAAAGTAACCACACTAACAACTTAAATCCATAAGTTCTGTCATTAAACTCTAGATGATGCAGGCTGATGTCCTTAACTCAATCTGTTTGCAATTGTCTTAAAAGGACAGTTGATTAGTTCCTGTTGCATCAGCAACTAAGGCTGCGTTTACATTTGGCATTAACATGCGATCACAGTGATCCGATCATTAGCCAATCAGGACATCTCAAATGGTGCCTTTACATTTGTTCACATAAGTAGCCTCTGTATCTGGTTAACAGATCGATTTCCTGCATAATATTTAAATTAGGTCTGTGTCACGACACCAGATTATGAGTAATGATACCAATTAAACAATATACAAATTGCTTCCACTCATTCACTTTACTTTCCTGCGCAATCTCCAGTCTTAGATCTTACGTCACTTCAGTTACATCACTACGTCAGCTACTGTGAATGCAACCAGGAAAAGGCTTAGGAACATTAGGTTCCCCAGTCTGGTAGCTAGTTCCTTAACCAAGTTCCTAGAACTATCTGGTGCGAAAGCCCCTATTGTAGACAACACAGCGTGTAGGGTAGTAGTGGAGTTTTTTGTCATACTACATTGTGCATCTAGATGTAAAATTTAACAACCTGAGACAACAATCACAATAAAACATTCCTAGTAACTTTTCTCTCTCTCAAGTCATATTCTTTAATTTAGACCCCAGTAACATGCATCTTATGTTACATGACAATTGGCTAAGAAAATGGGGCATGCATGCTGGTATTGTTTACATTACTAAAATTAGGAATCCTACATAATATGTTAAGATGTTTAACAGATATTTTTTATTTAATATTTTTTGCTGTATAATAGTTTCAGTGGTTTGAAAAAAAAAAAACATTTTACATCCTTCCAAAATCAAAGAGGAATGCGTACCTCCACTACAGTTCAAAAGTTTGAGGTTAGCAAGATAAAATAAATACTTTTATTCTGCCAGGATGCATTAAATAGATCAAAAGTAACAGTAATACAATTGTTACAAAATATATATTTTTTTTAAATGCAGTTTTTTTACTTTCTAGGAATCCTAATGTATATATATATCACACATTCCACTAAACTTTTTTCAACATTGATAAATAAGAAATGTTTCTTGAGCAGCAAATCATCATATTAGAATGATTTCTGAATGGTCATGCGACACTGAAGAGGAGAGTAATAATGCTGAACATTCAGCTTTGCATCATAGAAATAAATTACATTTAAAAATGTATTAAAATATAAAACAACTATTGTGTAATAATATTTCACAGTATTGATGTTTTGATCATATAAATGCAGCCTTATGGAGCATAAGAGACTTCTTTCAAAAACATGGGTAGTGTATATGTAAATTAAGTGATAGATTTTGGATAACAGATGACCGGAACAGTATATCTTCATTACGTGTGTTCAGATTACGCTATACACTTAAGGGGAAGTTAAACACTGTTGTTTCTCATTATATTTTTGCTTCGTTCATGTTAATTACATTTAGCAGACGCTTTTATCCAAAGCAACTTATAAGCGACTACTTAGGTCGCTTTTTAGTTGTATTCAGTTGTGTTTTAAAGTTTTAAGACACTGTCACCCTAATTAAAATTCTATTTTCTGATTATACAAATTTCTGATTTCATTATAATAAAATATGTTAGTTTAAGAGACGTTGCCCCTTAAATAGCGCTACATTTGATTAAAAAACATGACTAAAAAAAGTTTTTTACATTCTGAAAAAATGACTGAATGCATTGATTCTGACGCACTGTGAAAAGTGTGATGATATATAGCACATCACATATAGCACTTCACACCCATACATATCCATACTCAAACATGCATACTGATCTACTGCTAACTGCTGATTTCTACAGACTGCCATGGATCAATGCAGAATGCTGCACATTGCATGCAACCACTATTCTAGAAACCACTATTATACTGTTCAGCGTTCCATTTACTTAAAGATTAACAGAACTAAATTAGCACATGCTCACACATGCATGTATTCGAGCAGACCATAAAAACCCCCACATGCATGATTGATATGTACTAACATGGGATTATTAACATTTGAGGTGTGTTTGTGTGTGCTTTCAAGATTCTCTGAAATACACTGCAAAAAACAACCACATATTCCAGATCCATTATCTGAAAACATTTATTAATATCATAATGCTGTTTTTCCATTATTTTATGTTCTTTAAAGATGTACTTGTGCGTGTGTATTTTATATTAATAAATTATGCTAGATACATTTTTTTTTTTTTTTCATCTGGCAGCTGAGGTACAAAGTGAAATCGAGAGAATCTTTGAGCTGGCTCGGACGCTCCAGTTAGTGGCTCTGGATGCTGACACAATCAACCATCCATCTCAGTTGGCCAAGACATCACTGGCACCTATTATAGTCTACATCAAGATCGCCTCTCCAAAGGTAAATATTAGCTACAATATACTCACTACCTTTCATAGGTTTGGGGTCAGTACGATTTCTGAAATGTTTTTTATCATCATAATTTAAAGCTGCAGCCCGGAGTTTTTCCTCTTTTTCGCCATCTCTGTTTGAAATCTGCAATTACAGTCATTTGCGGAATTATCAACTTTATGTGAGTTGTACCTCGGCACGGCACAGCACGGATGAATCCAATGTTTTGTGGAGAATGTGCAGTGTGGATACTGGCATTCAGAATAACAGATTATTAATTATTCTTTTTGGAAGTATGACCAACATAAACATTTTCAGCCTAAATTGTCCTCTGAACAAGTAACATCCACTTTTGTTCTTCTGACCAACTAACTGAAAAAAAGCATTGCATTAAATCGTGCTGATTAAATCTAACAATAGCTTATCATATGACGTCAAACCGTGCAAAGTAAAGAGAAAAAAGCTCTAAATCTCCACCTCCAACATCGTCACACGCAACATAGCTTATACTAGCCATTAAAAAACATTATTACAAGCTTACCACTTTGAATCGAGCTAAGGCAAGCCGATAGTTTTGAACGTTTTGAATTTTTTGGGTTTAAATTTTTTACCCAAATAATGTACGGACGAGAGCTTTAAAATAAATTTCTATTTATATACATTTTAAAATGTAATTTATTGCAGTGATGTAAAGCTGAATTTTCAGCATCATTTCTCGAGTCTTCAGTGTCACATGATCCTTCATGATTATTTATTTTTGTGGAACCTGTGATACATTTTTTTTTCAAAAGAACAGCATTTATTTTCAATAGAAACATAATAGTTACGTTATAAATGTGTTTACAGTCACCTTTGATCAATTTTTAAACCATCCTTGCCGAATAAAAATATAAATTTCTTTCACACAAAAAAAATCTTACTGACCACAAACTATTTGTGTTCATCACAATGTATTTGAACATAATTATTGGATGTACCGGTATATTTGCTCTTCTGTTTCGCCCTCGCTATCAGGTGTTGCAGAGGCTGATAAAGTCCAGGGGTAAATCTCAGGCCAAACATCTCAACGTCCAAATGGTGGCAGCTGATAAACTTGCTCAGTGTCCTCCTGTGAGAATATGACTTGATTTCTATTGATTTACATTTATGTACACTTTTAGGTCTTCTTTATTCTTTGTTTCTAAAACATATATATAGTATAGATAAAACATGTCTCCAACATGTAAACTGCACATTTGCTTTGCACACTATTTTCTTTTGAAACATCTCCTTCTCTCTCTTTCAGGAGCTTTTTGACATAATATTAGATGAGAATCAGCTGGAGGATGCGTGTGAACACCTGGCTGAATACCTGGAGGCCTACTGGAAGGCTACACACCCTCCGAGCAGCAACCCACCCAACCCTCTGCTCAATCGCACCATGGCCACAGCCGCCCTGGCAGCTTCGCCCGAACCCGTCTCCAACCTGCAGGTACAGGTTCTCACTTCCCTGCGTCGCAACATGGAGCTCCTTGATGGCTCCCCCGCTACAGGGCAAGGGCAACAAGAAGAGGAACATGCCCTCTAAAGACAGGCCGGGCTTACAATTGAATATCGAAGGGTCCAGAACCCATCTCCCAATCACTGGAAAGTAACGATGGCTGCTCAAGAGATAGAAATGCCCAACTGTAATTCTGTTGTCTGTCTCTGCTCCTCTCCTCTCTGAATGATATAAATAATACAACATAGACACAAACAAAACATCTTATAATCATAAGCCCACCACGTGCCACAGTTCACACAAGCACACACTTCACCTCTCCCCTCATTTGATTTGCCAGCGGGACTTTCCAATGGCTTTTTGTCGTCTGGGAGACATAGTTCAGATCGCCACCCTCTTCCAGGTTGGCATGGCCCCACCCCGGAAAAACCCACTCATATCCATTATCCTATTAACACTGAGCCGAAATTCTAACAGGAGCTTGCACACGTGCATTGACGCCTGTGTTGTTTACCCAAGTTAGATGAAAGTGTGTGTTTGTGTGTCTGCTTGCAGAAGTGAGAGTGAGTCAGACAGACAGAGGATGGATCGATGCCTGTGTGTCAGTGTGTGCGTTTTCAGAACTGTCTCACCACAATCTGAACAAGAAGAAATGAGCATCCATCTGCTCAGTCTTTACCGTTACATAGTTGTCTAGGAGACCAAAGTTACACAGCTAATTTATTCACAGGGCACGCTTAAATATAATTAAATACTGAAATAGCTTCATTTGATGATTTATATCAATTATATATAATACGTACTATGTTTATAATCATTTGAAAATAGAAAGAAAATGAAAAACCTATACAATAAATTAAATGATAAAAGATCAAATCAATTTTGGTCAATATTTTGAATCAATTTCATTTGAATAATTTCATATAAAGGTTATATATAAAATTTAAAATAGAAAAAATGTATAATAACTTAAGTGATAAAAGAGAAAATAATTTTTGCAATATTTCTGTATATATTTTTTCAGGTAGCTATATCAGATAACTTTTGACTCCAAAGATGACTGATCTAGAAGCCCAATATTTTTTTGAATCATCAGCATTGAAAGGAGCTTGTATTTATTGTCTGTTTAATATGGCCACTAGATGGCGCTATTTTTTAGTGTTTTTTTTTTTTTTTTTATTACAATTGTTGTGCATGGTGTGGGTTTGTGTCCGTAGTTTGTCAGATGCGTTTAACTTTCTTGTTTTTGGAAAACATAAAAGATATTTCTGGGTATTTTTAAGTAAAGCGAGATCCTTTATTATTGCATAAATGTAAGGTTTAGTCTTTTTGAAATTGCCCTTTTGTAGCATTCTGTAGAAGAGGTTGCACTTATAAATCAGAGGTAAATATCCATAGAAATGTTCATAGCTTTGTGCAACGGCAAAAAGCATAAGAATGCTAAATATCTTCTCACTACCAGTTTTTTTGCCTTTTCCCCCCTAAAAGCATGAGTATTTTAAATGGATGGACATTGTTGCCTGGAATGTGTTGAAATATTTTATTTTAACTTGTAAGGTAAAAAGCTGACCTCTAACCTTTATATTAACATGCCGCTCGCTCTGTTTTTATGCGTGTCTGCATGTGCCTTGGCCTGTTGTGGTGTGTTTCGGGGGTGTGGCTTGCTGTAGGGGCCATTCCTGGTGCATGGAGAACAGAAGAGGGAAGGGCCTGAACACGCCAGTCTCCAAGACTACCAGAGTGACCTGGGTGGGAAGCAGCCACTGCGCTCTTCACGCAGCCAGTTGCAAACAGGAGGGCGAGGTCTGTCACGGCAGGACACGTTCGATTCCGAGACCCAGGGCAGCCGGGATTCCGCTTACACCGACGACATGGAGACCGATCCGTACGAGGAGCCGGACCCGTGTCGCTCGTACCGCCTGAACCCTGCCCACCACGCTCCTCGCCAGGCCTCCTGGGAGGACGAAGGGGCGGAGCCTGACCAGGAGAACCTCAACATGGTCCCACCACCAGCCAATCAGCACCAGCGTGGACGAGGCAAGCTGAGGGAGCGCTACTGTCAGGACGCAGAGAGCGGCGGGGCGACCACGGGCCGTAACCATAGCCAGGAGGAGTGGAGCAGAGATGTGTACATTCGCTAGAGCAGGTTTACTCGAGAGGAGTTGTTTAGAACGACACTAAGTAGAATCACTATAGTTGGATCTGTTTACAACCCAGAGAAACACACTATCATTGACAAACGCTGTACAGCTAACACTCACGACATTCGCATTACGCTAACAAGGCTCTCGGTCATTTAGTTTCAACCTGTTTTTGAGGAGGAAGAAGCTTTCTTTCTTCACTCTGTTTTACTTTTGTATAGTACTGCATGACTTTCCTTGCTGAGCATTAAACACGATTCACAATGTATAACCAAAATCTTGCAAGAGTAAGGGTGCGTATGTGTGCGTGTGCATCCTCTGTAGTCTTAAACAAGGTCTTTCTGATACACGAAAGTCTTGGGAGTGACCCACCAGTTTGATTTCCCAGACTACACTACTGCAGAGCGTGTTTTTGCGTCATATTTTATTCTATTTATTTTATTTATTGAGACTCAAATGCAGTCTTTAGCCTGCTAAAACCTTTACAGAGCTCCGCCGCTGCTGCGTACTCCTCCAATCCAGAAGGGGTGCTGTGGTGCTCACATGTTATAGTTCAATAGGGCTAACAAGTGTATCAAGACGTTAATCCAGATCAGCTAGTGTTTATAAGCATCTAATATGCAAATATAAATAAGACACACATTTTCAAACTATAACCCCAATACGTTTGAGACCATTAACACGAATTGCTTTGTGTCGATTGTAACCGGCTCTGTCTCGTCTTCTGTGCCTGCTCAAGGGCTTTTAGCGTTTGTGCCGCCACTGTAACACTGACATTGGAAACATGTTCTGCCTTATTCACTCGTCAGTCACACACAGGCCAACCAATCACAAGTGCCGTAATCTTTCATCAGGCCACTCCCACCGTAAACACGGTGGGTTGTCTTAACTCAGTGCAACACATGGACAGTTGTTGTTATTGTTGTCATATAGTCTACACTAATATTTTACCTTGTTTAAAAAAGCGATATGTTTGCACTGCTAGTCATTTTAAGATTAAACAAAGTGTTTGTTGCATGACAGTTTAAGGAATCACTTCACAGTCCGAGAAGCTGGAACACAGTTACTATTGCAAACTCAACACTGGCATACACAGATACACACATCCTACTGCCAAACTCATGCTAATGCTACTGCTTTTTGTGTTCTGTGTGTGTGAGTGTGAGTGTGTATGTGAGTGAAATGGAAGAAAATCTGGAGTCTTTACTATTTTATTTAACCAGAGCATTGGTGAATGTCTATGAGCCTCTTTTTACCCTCAACTATGTTTTAAAAGATCATCATGATGAAATTTGCTAAATATACAAGTAGATAGCTTACTAAATAATGTTATTGTTGCATTATCGCAATTGTTTCAAAGGAAAACAGACGTATACTTTGGTGCGTGATTGTAGCTCCATTTTACTTTTTTGTTTTTAATCTGTGGATAAATTCATATTTTAAATAAAAATTTAATCTGGATGAACTGTTTCCTGTGTCATTGCTGTTTTCACGTCATTTAGAAACCTACAAAATAAATGCAGATTTTTTTTTTATTAATTTAGTGTATATTAAATATATCAAAAATAAAATATTAATTAAAATTTGATATTATATACTAATTCACTTTTAATACTTATACTTAGCTATAAGCCATTTATTTAATATATCAATATAAATGTCATACTACAGCAGAAGTACTGGAAATATCTTGGCAGATTATAATATTGTGTCAGGCATGAGGGAGCCTTTGAGTCAAAAGAGGACTTGTGGGAAACATGAGAAGTGATAAATAGAGAGGTAAGAGGAAATGGTGTGATGGGGGTGGGAGAGGGTGAGAAAGAATATCTGGTGGTGGGGTGCCAGGAAGAACACTAAGAAGAAAGGAGCGGGGATACAATGCAGGATTTGAGACAATGGGGTGCGAGGGAGAAATAAAAAGATGGTCATCACCTTTCATTTATGAGGGCAATCCTGGTTAACCCCTGAATTCATATAAGTGAATTATGTACTGATGATCACGCAAAGCATCTGATCGACTCCTCTTCATAAAGAGCATCACACACTAGCCCATGCAAGTTAAAATGTTATTTACTTTGCATCAAAAGCTTGCAAAAACTGTAGTTAGGCATAAGAAATATTTCCTTCATTCCTTTTCCCTATATTGTAACGTCCTGACCTGAACCAACAACTGTTTTTGTTCACAGGTGGGTAGGTTACATGAAAAAAAACACCTTACCAAAAACCACTTCTACATCATTCTTGGCCAGATGTGCGGATGACACGACTTAACCACACTCGCACATTTGTGCAGTGATGAGCATACGCTCTGCACATTACATGCTTCTGCTCTTCCTGTAGCAGATCCGCTCATATTGTGTCTCATTATTCCACAGATCATGACATTTAAGTAGTAGGCCTACCCAACGTGCTCAAAAGGGTGTGCGAGAAACCTGATTCAGCTCACTACATACTCATAGGAGATTGACAACAGGAAACTGATCGTGCTCAGATCATATCAAGAGGAACAGAAAAAGTGACATGTCATTACAAGTATGGAAAGATTGTGGTTTCATCACCTGCTGATGGCAATTCACATGATTTGCTTTTGTTTTTTTAAAGCTATATAATTCAATCAAATCAATATACATAAGTCAATAATATTGTTTTGGTTGATTTTGATTGATTTCTGGTTGAGTTGGAATCTAGGGGGCAGAAAGAAAATGTCAAGTAAGGTAATTTTTATTTCTTTTTTATTTTCAGTTCAAAAAAACAAGACAAATACAAAGCATTGTAAACACAGTTCTCAAGTAAGGTTATTAATTTGAGTCAGTCTAAATCAAGATGTAAGATACATGACAAAGAGAAAATGAGTTTGTTATTGTGTTTAATTTACCTACAGTTCATTTTCAGTTACGAGTCCAGGGAATTCCATGAGCTCTCTTACTTTCTGATTAAAGTTCCATTAAGTTTCCTCTCAAATTCCCCTGTAGCTCGAAAATAAAACAACAAACCGTCGAACAACGCCACGCCCCGTTCCATATACGGACAAAATAATTGTACGGTAATTTGCGTCATCCCCGTGGGCGTCCAATGAGGATTGCCGCTTTGACTACCCCTGAAACGCGTGACGCCACCTCTGCGTCATTACTCATCGTTTAAATATGCATGCGCCCACGAAAAACACGACGAAATTCCGTCTTTCGGCCCAATATTATGTATTAGAACAGCGGGGCTAGTGGACAGACACCAGTCGATTAGAAAATAGACACTTAGGGAAATCATCTTTAAGCATTTTCGAGCATAGTTTAGACATCTTAATGAATGTTTGACAATACAGAGCCGCAACAAGACAAGGAGAATATTATCGCTCGCTGGTCTGTTGTTTTAACAGCTTTCGAAGAATTTACTGCTCAGATATAAAGAACCAGAAGACTTTAACGCTCGGTGAATTCACAAAACCCGGTGTGATCGGTTAACAAACCGGCCTTTTAAACTCACTGCCTTCGGAAATGGGGCTACTGTTTGCCAAACTGATGACTGTTTTCGGAGATAGAGGTAAGTTAAGTTATGCGATTTAAAAACAACAATAAAAGGTTTTTAGGAAATGTTTTAAGATTTTTTATTAGGCTATTATAGCATTTTAAGTATTATTTTTCCAAGTTAAATATTTTTAAAATTGCCTTTATAGCTTAAAGCTGTACTACATATTACTATTTTTTTTCAGTAAAAATAATCAAAAGAACATTTGTTTCATCACATTTTGTGACTTCTCAGAAACTTATTTATACTCTTAATACTTAACGTGTTTTAAAACTCCGACTAAAGGCCCGTTTTAATCTTGATTTTCTCGTGTGTAGTTTTGTAAAATGGTCAGCACCCCTAATCCAGGGTTTATATTTATTACGATATTGTTATGGTGTCAAAAGATATAACTCCAAGTTGTTTAGCAACAGGCAACCAACCAATCATGAACGTCATCATCGGTGCGTGTTTATTAAACATTCATTAGTGTCTATAAAACATCATTGTTTATTTTCTGAAACTTTCACGCGCTGTTGTTAAATATAATGTACGGTGTGAATTCTCGAAGTCGAATTGAAGAGTTCGGATGCTAAAGACTTTTTTTTTTCTATAATGATCATTCAAGCTTGTATATTTAAGTTAAGTAATTTCACTAAAATGGCAATGAAGATTACCTATAAATTGTCATTAAAGTGAAATTACTGAACTTAAATATACAAGCTTGATAAAAATGATCATTCTAGAAGAACATTTTAAATGGTACTTAGGCTTTTGCATCTGAACTCTTCAATTACTAAACCATGATAAAACCTGAATAATACTGAAATACAGAAACAAGATTTCCCAGGTTTCCAATGTGAAAATGCCTTTTAAGTGACACTAATAACAGAAACACATGTTTATGCAAGTCTGAATGTTCTGTTCTTTCTGTATGTCAGATAAGATTACACACCAGTGAGGTTCAGAGATCATGAGAGTTCTGCTTACCTGTTATTATTCTACACCAATTTACTCAACCTTTTCAAACTTTGTTCAACCCAAGCAGTCAGTTCACTGAGTTCTTAAAATTGCATTACTTCAAGATTAGGGTTGATGTTATCAGATGACATTATCATACAGAAACCAATTCTGATTAAAATGTCTGTATTTTTGTGACATCCTCCCTTTTCTCTTCTTAGAACACAAAGTAATTATTGTCGGTTTGGACAATGCTGGGAAGACCACCATCCTCTACCAGTTGTAAGTGTTTTTCTTATTGAATGTATAAGCAGGAGTACCACTGCACATCGACATGTTACATTTCCACTCAGTTTTTAAACCTTCAATGCCCTGTTCTCTTCAGTTTAACAAAAGAAGCCGTGCAGACTTCTCCCACAATTGGCAGCAACGTAGAGGAAATTGCCGTAAAGAAAACACGCTTCCTCGTCTGGGACATTGGTGGCCAGGAGAATCTCAGAGCTACCTGGAACTCGTATTACTGTAACACAGAGGTGTGTATCTTTCCCTACTGCTGAGAGACCGATACAGTATATTATTGACAATTACAATTGTATAACCTTTACAAGATGTATAATCTTCCTCTCTAAATGTAACAGATTATCATCCTGGTTGTTGATAGCACTGATCGAGAACGCCTCACTGTTACTAAAGATGAGCTTCATCGAATGCTTGCACACGAGGTTAGTTTTCATTCAGCTGCTTCATGACCCAGTTGTTATGAATATTTAATGGTTTTTCATGCACTTTGCACATGTGTTATCAAGGTCTGGGTTTAAAATCTAACTTTTATACAATTTTATTTATTTATTTATCCTTTTAAATATTTTCAAAACAGTATTGCTTTTTGGCTTTTATCAATCTTTTTTTGTGCTTTTGTAATTTATATTGGTTTTTTTTAAATATCACCATTTAGGTTTTATTTATTTTTATATGTATTTATAGTTTTTATGTCCTTTTAGTAACTCAGTTCAACTTCTTTGAGTTGCCAAGACAAAATTTCAGTTTTTCATCTAATTTTTTACATTTTATTCTGTTTCTGCATTATTTAAATGAACAAAAATCTCTAATTCCACTGGTTTAAAAATATATTTTTCCAATCAGAGAACTCAAAATTTTGACCAAACCGCTATTGTAGCCTATTATTTGATTAAGTCAAGTCAAGTCACATTTATTTATATAGCGCTTTTCACAATACAGATTGTATCAAAGCAGCTTCACAGTGATAACATGAAAGTAGCACAACACAGATCAACAACATTGCTAAACACTAAATAACCCCAACTGAGCAAGCTCAAAGCAAGCCAAAAGCAAGGCGACAGTGGCAAGGAACCAAACTCCATCAGATTGGATGGAGATGGAGATTAAAAATATTTATTGCGGTAAATTTAGGGATTTCAGTGTGCATTTTGGATTTGCAAACAAATGATCAGGTTTTTAGGGTTTGGTTAGACCATCCCAAGTGAGATCAGCCCTAGTCTTAATAGTTTTGAACATTATTCTTTCTTGTTAATGGTTTAATTGAATTCCTTCTCCACACAGGATCTGCAGAACGCATCTGTGCTGGTTTTGGCGAATAAGCAGGACATGAAGAACAGTATGTCTGCTGCAGAGATCTCTCAGAGTCTGACCCTCAGCTCGCTCACCGCTCGTTCCTGGCATGTCCAGGCCTGCTGCGCACTCACTGGAGAGGGGTATGTGTGCTTTATAGGAGTGCATATGTTTACCAATGTGTTTTGCTTGTTTAACCCTGTTTGGGTTAAACAATCTATTGAACCTTTAGAAAGAAATCTGTAAACTTGTATGTTTTTTATTATTATTATTTTTGAAATCTATTATCATATTTGATACGTCTGGCTTTAATTGCTATCATAGTATATGATATAGAGAGAATATGAAGAGTTCAGATGCAAAAGCCTCTAAATGCCATTTGAAATTTTCTTCTTTAATGATGATTTTTATTAAA